CCTCCCGTGCAGCTGTTTGCATTAACTCAACCTGCTGTGTGCACGCAGTCAGCTCTGACCCTCAGGAATGAACCAGGAGCTCCTCCTGTAAGTGTGCCGAATGACCCAGAACCAGACATGGGAGCTGGAGTAGACCAGGGGCTTGCTCAGGCGCTGTGGCAATGCCTGCATGGTCCCCAGTGCCAGCTCTTCCTGTGGCTGATTTCTGCGTCTGGGACAGGTCTTCACTGAGTCCCTTTGGGCACAGACTCCCCCATGGAGCAGAGAGCATCTTTCACAGAAGGCTGAGCGGCCCCAGCTCTCTGTCCCTGGCCGCCACCGGCTGCATGCATTGCCTCTCACTTGTCCCACAACATGGAGAGTGGCCCATGTCCCTTGGAGGAAGGGACAGCAGATGGAGCAGGCACCAGGGAACCTGGCAAGGCCACAGCAGGAGCATGGGGCTGACACCTCCTCAGCGGGTTGAGGAGAATGTTTTCCAGCACAAAACGTGGAGAAGGGGGAAAGGCCCAAGTGCTTACTGAGAGGATGAAGACACCCTGCACCTGTCTCCGTCCAGGTTTCTGCAGGCCACAGGGGCTGGAGCCCTCCTGGTCAGGGGTCGGACTCATATCCACACAGTGGGGGCCTCTCTGGGTGCCTGGCAGCATTAGTGACTCCAGGTCGGCAGCTGCCCCAGCCTGGTGACTCATCCTACCTGTGACAGAGCCGCCGAGTCAGAGGGCCTTTCCTCCAGGCTGTTCCCAGCTCTGTGGTGACGGGTCCCAGGTGGGCAGAGGCTCACGGGGACTTTGTTATCTACACGGAGCCAGGCTGCACATCCCCTAGGTGTGTGTCCCTCGCGGAAGCGTGTCCTCCACACAGGCTTGAGGCAGTGAATAGCTGAATAAAAGACGCTTTGGCCACCTGGTGGCCATGCCGTGACAATGGCTGGCCGGAGATGCCTGTGGGTGGTGCCTCTGACAACCTCTTTCATCTGTCTCTCTTGAGGAGAGGAAGGTACAGAAGGCCTGCGGCTGCCCGGGCTTGCTGCCCTCTGCCCACAGGCTGTGTGTTCTCCCGAGCCGTCCCACGTTCTCTTCTCGGAGGTCGCCGCCTCCGTGTCACTGTCACACTGGAGTCCGAGTCTACTACTCCTTCCGGGGATTATGAGCCTGATGCAGATCTACTGCTCTCAGTGGAGGGGGTGTCTTCCCTCCCCTTTCCGGAGGGCTGGGCATCTAATCTCCAAGCAGCTCTTTCCATACAATACCCAAAACCGTGTGTTTCACACGGGAAATAGAGGAGCTTTGCTCATGGTTTGGAGGCTGAGCTCAGTTCAGGGCAGTCCTCCTGGTTCAGAAGCCGGAGAAGCACGATGCAAGACATCACGGCGGGAGGAGGTGCGAGAGGCAGGAGAGACCACAGGGCAAGACGGGGCACCAGGGGGAGGGTCTACAGTCCAGACTGCTCATTCTGCAATTCCCCCTCCGTGGGCCACCTTCACTAGGCCACAGCACCTATGTGCACCACCAGGAACAGTGCCAACATGGCCCGTTCAGCACATCATACATGCCCCACGCTGGTTCACATGCGTGCAGCTGGCCCACACCCTGTGCTGGCCCCACGCTGGTCCACTCCAGGGCAGCTGGTCTACACCCTGTACTGGCCCCATGCTGGTCCATAGTCGTATAGCTGATCTGATGCTGACCCCATGCTGGTCTACTCCAGGGCAACTAGTCCATGCTCTGTGCTGACCCCACACTGATCCACACCCATGCAGCTGGCCCACACACTCTGTGTAGGCCTCCTGTTGGTCCACTCCAGGGCATCTGGTCCATGCTCTGTGCTGGCCCCACGCTGGTACACACCCGTGCAGCTGATCTACTGTGGCCCCCTGCTGGTCCACACCCTGTACTAGTCCCATGATTGTTGTGACCACAGGATGACTTTGTCTTGAATTGGCCCCATTCTGCCCAGACTGGAATCAGGACGGTTGGTAATAGACTCTTCAGGGGTGCTGTGTCTGGTGACCAGAGGCAGTCTCAAAGACAGTAGGACCGCGCCAGGGCAGATCTCAGGTACTCCCATTTTGTGTCATCACAGAATCCACGCTGTGGGAGTTGGGGCATTGGCTGTGACGACAGCATGGAGAGAAGCGCCATGGATCTGTTAGGCTATAATCTGATTTTTTCCCTTCTCTGTGTCTAAGTGCCCCATCAGTGACAGCAATAGAGTTCTTTGGCAGGGAGAGGGCCTCGGAGCTGAATCCCAGGGGAGCCTATGGCATTCCCAAGTGGCCGGGCCTCCTGGAGGGAGACAGGAATCTCTGGTATGGGCAGATGAGGATGGAATGGAAATTCTACCTGCTCTGTCATGATTCAGAGCCTGCTCTCTTTCATGGATATAATAATAATTCAAACCTCAATCTTGAGATAAATGACTAATTGTACCTGAGCTCATTCATGATAAGATGGAAAACTTGACTCATGTAGGAGTTTAATCCCACACTCTCCACCGCTCTCAGATCTTCAGTTGGTGAACAAAGCATTTGGTTGAAGCTCTATGCACTTTCACACCATATCGAAGGACCCTCCATGTGTGTCTGTGTTGCTCACCCCTGCTTTACTGCTCAACACAGACTCACTACTTCCTATGTGGCTCTAGCTCATATGAATGACACATAGGTGTGTATGTGAATCTGAGTGTCCACTTGCTATCACCACCCAGCCTGGAGTATGCATGCCGTGCTCATGTGGGTCTCACTGAACACTGGGTCCCATCACATCTGTTCTTTGCGGTATGCTCCAGGTGTGAGGGTGCATTCCTGGATCTCTTGGAGAAACTTGTCTCACCATCTAATGTTTGACCGAGCTGGAAAACCTTCAAGGAGGTGGCAGCATTGCCTGTGTGCACGCACTCCACAGGGCTCTGTGGTCTGGTTGTGGGGACATGTCCACCCAAGCGCCCTCAACAGTATCTCAGGCATATACTGGTGAGCTGGCCCTGCTTGCCAGGCACATAGCCTGCCCCAGGACCTGGAGCCATCCCATCTGCAGCTGCATACTGCGCTGTGTTCCTGGTGCAGCTCCTGGGACCTGGCACATGGGCCTCTCCTGGCTGCAATGCTGCCTTCCTGCTCCTCCCCAGAGTGGTTGGTAGTGGCCTGGGTCACCCTGCCTCCTGCCCTTGCTTCTTGGGCACACAGGACGGCTGTCCTCCTTCTTGGGGACAACAGGGCCAGGCTCACGGTTGACCAGACCACATGGTTGGGGCCTCCCAGCTGTGCGGGAGCCCTGCAGTGGAAGCTGCTGCAGACCCTAAGTCTGAGTCTCACATCTCCGCATCTCCACTTTCAGGACTGGGAAAGAGCTCTCGCTCTGTCCACTGTGCCCAGCTGCCCTTGAGACACAGGTGCCGCCCCTAAGGTGGGGGTTGGTGGGAGGGCAGCAGCAGAAGAACACAGCAGCAGCTAGGGCAGCTCTGGCTGTGGTGGCCAAAACACAGAACTGTGCCCCAGATATTCTTTAAGCTTCTAAGGCACCAACCAGGTCACAATTCCATTTTGGGGGCTCTGAAGGTTTTCAAGGTTGCTTTTCTTGCTTGCCACATATACGGAGAGGAACATGCACACAGCCTTCAATACACAGACACACAGACAGCCTGCACACACACATAGAGCTGCACACACATAGAGATACAGCCATGCACACACACAGCCGAGCACACACATAAATACAGCCATGCACACACATAAATACAGCCATACACACACACAGGGCCATGCACACACATAAATACAGCCATGCACACACATAAATACATACACACACATAAATACAGCCACGCACACACACAGAGCCATGCACACACATAAATACAGACATACACACACAGAGCCATGCACACACATAAATACAGACACGCACACACAGCCGTGCACAAGGTCCCTGACTCCCTGGCAGGTGCTCACCTTAGCACCTGAGCTTCAGCTAGTCCAAGCTGGGCCTCAGTGTTAGCATCCTGCTGTGGCCTGCACTCTGTGGATTTCAGTTCTCAACTTTGTGTTGTGCAGAGAGGGTATCTGTGAGTATCATTTGTGTTCAGTCCCTCGCGAACGGTGTCACTTCATGGGAGAGGTCCACACAGGCTGAGGGCAGCCATGCACTTTGAGGGGCAGGAAGCTCAGCCTAAACACCATGCCCCAAGAGGGTTTTAGGGCACATTTCCACTTCACAGTCCCCGCATCAGCCCAGAGCACCAGCTGTGTGGAAGGACCCCAGGAGGGGAGTCGCCTGCACCGTGTCTGCAGGTGTCACCAGCGGTGGACAGAGGACCGTAGCACCTTTCCAGGGGTGGAGCTGCTCTTGTGAAAGGCTCCAGAAAGTAGCACTTAGGATAATGGCTCACCATGGCAAATGAAAGGCCAGTGTCCGAGGAGTGGGATGGGTACAAGCTGGAGGGAGCTTGGAGCGCCTGTGGATCCTGGCCCGACCTCCTGAGCGGCTCTGCCTGCGGTGAGTTCTCTCATGTCAGTCTTGGTGTCCTCCTCGTCCTCAGGCTGGCTGGTCAGCAGGTGCACACACTGTCAGCGAGGGCCTGCTCTGAGGACAGCCTCGGGGTCTCCGCCCCTCTCCCCCTTTCCTATGTGGGGTCTCCTTTACTAAGTATGTTAGAAACCCCAGGAATGTTCCAGGCTACACGAAGGGCATTTTGCCTCTGGGGAAAAAAAGATTTATCCCTGAGATGAGTGTTTGGGCAGGAATTCAGTAGCAATTTATTATTTAGTTAGTTTTGAAAGCAACAAACTCTTTGAAAGGCAGGCTACAGATCAGTCCAACTGGAACACAATTGGAAGCCCAGGTGGCTCTGAGAGGGTGGGGCCGGCGGTGTGTCTGCACCCACGTGTTTTCCATGTGCCTGAAATGCTGACTGCTTCACTGTACATCCATGGAGAAAAAGTAGGACATGAGCGTGTGAGGGCTCAGAGGCATGACTCTGACAGTGGGCTCGTGTTTCAGGTGTCCCCGTGCGAGCGGTGCCGCTGCGAGGCCAACGGCGAAGTGCTGTGCACAGTGTCGGCGTGCCCACAGACAGAGTGCGTGGACCCCGTGTATGAGCCGGACCAGTGTTGCCCCATCTGCAAGAACGGTACGTGCAGTCCCTGGGGCGGAGGGTGCTGGCCGCATCGGAGGCACGTGTGTGAGTGTGGACACCCGTGTCCCCCCACATGCACTCCCACGAGCCTGTGGCCGGCCACGCCCGGGCTGTGGCCAGGAGCTGCTGTAGCCAGGGCCTCCTCTGTCTTGGCAGTGCCAGCCCCCTTTGCCTTCTGGATGTTCGGCTCTTTGGGGAGATGCTCAGTTCCTGCCGTGGAGGAGAGTGACTCATTGTGATTTTGCTTTGTTTGTTCTTGCAAAGCTCTTCCTTTTTCTAACACAAATCAAACATGCTGGTTGGGCTCCTTTTCTTGTCATTGCTAAGTGAATTAAACTGGGAACATAATTGAAGATGTATCAGAAGCAGTTTGGGCAGGGGGAGAGTCAGTATGCCCCCTCCCCACCCCCCACTCCCAGGTGGAGCGCCAGGAGATGGGCAGCCTGCACAGAGCATTATGGGCACGAGTGGTGCCCGGGGTGGTCTTGCTCCTGATGGATCGCGGAGTGCATTCTGCTGTCGGATGGGAGGTCTGAGTGCGGTTCTGGGGGTCCCTGAGGAGAGCGGTGTTGGATGAGAACTGGCTTAGCATTACTGAGAGGTGACAGAGCAGAGGGGGACTCGGGAGACAGCATTTGTGGACTCACAAGTCCCTGGGCTCCCTGGGCTGATGGACGCCCCCCAGGACACACGGCTGGGCCTCCGCAGGGGAGCATGTTGCAGGAACGTGTGATGTCATCATCCCTGGTGTCCAGGCCGCTGGGTTGAGGCCGGATGGCCCTGTGGACATGGCCCGTGGTGACGGTCACCCAGGGGGGCTGCCGATGCCTGGGACAGCTCTGCCACGTGGGCTGTGAGGTGCCACATGTACCTCTGGCTGTCCACAAGTGTTGTGACGCTCTTGAAATAGGTACGTGAAAGTGAGGCAGGCGATTCTTTTGAGGAAGGATGGTCCTGAAAGAGCGACATGGCCATGACAGAGTGGGACGGCATGAACAGTGTCCACTGGGAGATGGGAGGATGAGCACTGGCTAGTCATGGGCATTAGCTGTGAGGAAACCATGACTCACGGCCAACACCAGCTGGGAGGTGGAGAATGGAGGCAGTCGAGGGGCAGGACTTGGGTCAAGGAAAGAGAAGCAGGTGGGGAGGTGGGCAGAGTCTGCCTGGGCTGGGCTATGGCAGCGTCTTGCTCTGCCAGCCGAAGCCAGAGTTCCCCAAGTGGGGCTGTGACTGCAGAACAACCTTGCACACCTACCTAGTGAATGGTTTAAATGCTGGTGAACTGAATACGTGGCATTGCAAATATCCAGGACAGTTCCTGTTTCTCTTGCAGCTGGATTAGAAAGTGAGCTTGGGCCTTTGGGAGCAGGGGAACCTGAGTGTGGTATGCACAGTAGGGAGGATTGCAACACGGCAGGCTTTCTGAATCTGCAGGCCTGCAGGCAGTGCCAAGTCCGCAGCCCGTGTGTACCCCCCGTTAGGGTTCTGCCTCTTGTTCTCGCCTTCTGGCTTCCCATCTTTGCAGATGAACCGTGCAGCACCATCAGCAGGCTCGCCTGTGTGTCAGTTCTGTTTATGCCAGCGCCCTCTGGAAGCGTGCGGGGCAGGCGTTCTGTGCAGTTCTTTTGCCTTAGGATTTTTTTTTCCTCTAGGAAGGACAGGCAGAGAATCCTGTAGAAGGTGCCAGTATGAATTCTTTCTCATGGGTGGCTAGGTCATTTATTTCTGTTTGCATTCAATCTTTTTGTCATTTAAGATTTTATTTTTGAGTGATCCAAGATTCAGAAGTGGAAGCTATGTAAATGAGGCATGTTCACAGCCACACAGCATGGTTCCTTCTTGCACCGATGGTCTGAAGAGACTAGAAACTTCCCAGCGTGTGGCTTTACCTCCACACCCGAGATACGAGGGACGAAAGAGGGCAGGGTGGAAGACTGGAAATTTTTAGAAGTAAATGTTCTTTTTATAAACTAGATGTATGTGATATAATTGGCTCGCTCCAAATATATCCAAAAATCTAAACAGCAACTTCCTTTTTTCAGGAATACAACTAAAAATAACTTTGAATGCATTCAGTCACATTAGTATTTCTCTTGACAGAACATGGCTTGCGGCTGCCTCAGGTTGGAGGGTGTCCTGACCTTGACAGGGAAGATCCAGGGAGAAGGGAAAGTTGCTGGGACAATGAAAGGTGTTTCTACTGGAGATGGGGACCCTGAGACAGAGAGACGATGTTGCCTTCTCACACACAGAAGTGATGTTGATTTTGCATTCGTGTCCACTGCATCACAGACCAGAGGGCACCAGGATGGGGTGTCTTAGTGGAAATTTAGTGCTTGGCTGGAATTAGCATGGTGACACAGGCAGGCCCGAGTCACGATCCCCTGCGCCTGACCTCTGCCTCTCCCATTGGCACGTCCTGACCCGTAGCCTCAAATAGCTTTCTCCCTGCAGAAGGAAAATTACAGTTCAGTTCCCAGCTGCCAGAGTCACTCGCATCAAAGGAGCCAAAGTTGGGAACGAGAATGCCCTGAATATAAATAGATGATCACAAATCAAATGCAGTGTGATACATTCGCTTTGTTGACTCTGAAAATCGGCCTTTCAAGGTTTATCCTGTGGTAAAGGGATGCTGTGAGGCACCGTTTGGTGCTGCCCGTCGCATTTGCACCCACAGTGACCAACCCAAGAGCGCCATGTTGATCTGGCATTCCTAGTGGTCGATGGTGAGTGCCAGGTACTCCTGACAGGCTCTGGTCCTCAGTATGCACGTCTGTGTGAGCTTGGCACCTGTTCCACTGGTGTGCCTCTATCCTGTTTCATGGATGCTGAGAAGAGAGGGTGGAATGTGGTACCCACCAGCCCTTCATGTCGCCAAGGCTTGCAGACCCTGGAGACAGAACCCAGGTCTCTCTCAGGGACAGCTACCACACCAAAATCACAGGAAAACAAAGATAGCTATATTTTTTGGCGGGAAAATGAAAAACGTGATGGCATGTTAAAGATAAAGCCTGAAGCTTCAAGGGAATCCACTGCCCTTTCACAGAAGATGGGTGAACGCCAGCGTTCAAGCTGGACCTGGTGATGGCCTTGCCTCTTGCTGCATGTGGACAGGTGTGTGGTTGATGTCCATGAGGTTCTCAGAGGAAAGCTGACATGACACGGGGCCATGAACACTGCCAAGCTTTCGCCAGAGGAAGGCCAGCATTGTAGACACATTCCAGGAACTTTGATGGATGCTGTGACTGAGAAGTTAACAAACACCAGGAAGAATTCTGAATCGCCATGAGGGTGACTGGCAGGTCCCTATTTAAAATCAGCTGCAGTTGGCTGAACAGCAACAGCGAGCAAAAGCACATAAAGAAGCACAGTTACAAGTTGTAGATTTTAGCTCAGTGGGCGGAATAAAGCCAGCAAACTGGTGTGGACTCTCCCCTCAGGCGTCGTGGAACTCCGAGGGAGACTAGAGATGCCCCAGAAAGGGAGAAAGGCCACTTACCAATGGAAGATTTAAGAATGGGAATGTGGATATTGGTCTCAAATTCATCTTCTGATTCAACACAACTCCTGTCAAAAGTCCACTGTTAGTTTTTTGGGGTTTTGTTTTATTTTGTTTTGTTTGTTTTGTGGAAACTACAAAACTACCTCAACAATGACAATGAGAACACACAAGTGAAAGACTGGCCAATGAAATATTCAAGATTAAAAAGGCTGGGACATGTCCACTGTGAAAATCTAAAGCACATTCAGAGTAGTGATGATTACCCAGGAAGTGGCCTAGAAATAGAACAGGGCAGAGTCAGCAGAGGCCCCTGTGCCTCTGACATCACCAGCCAGGCCAGCAAGCTGGTACCGCAAGGCTGGTACTGCAAGGCTGCTTTTCCTCCAGCGATGGTCAGTTAAATAGCAATGTGCAGGGGGAGGGCGCCTTGTGCCTTCCCTCAAACCCTACATAAAGAATCCATTTGTTGCAGTGTGGCGGTGCCCCAAGAGGCTTGGTGGGAGAGCGTCTTGATGCAATAAAACCCAAGTGGACAATAAGGGACACGAGAAATCCAACCAGGAGGAAGAGGAAGAGGTGATAGGCTGGACCTTACTAAGGACTAACAATGTTTGCTCTTCCAGTCCCACCGTTACACAGTACTGAGCCCGCAAGCTTGGAGAAAATTCGTGCAGAACACGTGTCTCACAGACGTGTGTGCAAAGCTCTGGGGAAAGTGTGTCGCTGCCTGGAAAGCCTGCAGCCCACGCTGGCATAGCTGCTGTTCATTCCAGCTGCCTGCCCAAGCACGCTCTGACGGGCACTGCAGGCAGCCCAAGGATGTGGGGCCCCAACACCTGTGGTGGACACCCAGATTGAGTTCCTAGTTCATAGCTTCAAGCAGTTCCTAAAAGTTCCAACATCCTTTTTCTTTCCACATTTTTTTGGTAGAAATTTGCAACCTAATCTTAAAGTTTATATGAAATGTAATCATTTGCTAAAGAATTTTGATAAAGATCGAAGTAGGAGATTTTGCATTCACAAGTTATTAAAAAATATATAATGAAAAAGATTTGTTGATATAAGAATGTGCAATAATAGAAGAATTCAGAGCCCAGAAATAAATCCTGCATGCAAGTCTTCATGTGTTTATTGTCAACCAAGGTAGCAACATTCCAGAAAGATCTTCCATCCGACTTTTCTCTGTGGCTGCTCATGTGGAGACCCCTTAGCTGCCATTTCTCTGGGCATTCATTTTTCTCATTTTTCTCTTCTTAATCTTTGCTTGTGGTCAAATTTCATGGGAGAACATATTAACACAAAGTGGGCCATAAACCAAAATGTGAAAGTTAAAGTGTGTGACTGACTGAAGTATTTGGAGAACATCTTTGTGATATTCCTAACTTCTACATCAAAATCACAATCCGTAAGAGGAAAATAAACTTAGAGAAAATTACAGTGTAAAGAAGGGTAAAGCTTCTTGCAGTTTTAAACACTAATAAGAAAATGG